AGGACAATTTGATGCGAAAAATGCGCATACTTATTCTCTCAATCCCTAACGTCTCTTCACCTGACGGCAACCTCTAAATGTTAGAGTTAAAATGGGTGTCATCACTAACTAATCTGGAGGTCTTAGACACAGGTGCAAATTACTGGCTAGGGTCTTGGACATGGGGAAAAGGGCTTTTAGGTGGTCAAAGTATTCATAGCACAAGGTTCCATAGTTCCAAACCCAACATATTCACAGCCAATCAACCCACTTACTTTCTTTCTGCCATTCTGCATTACTCAAATTCTTTAGAGAACAAGAGCGAAGGAGTTCACAATAATGTTAGTATTTCTAAGCCAGACTGCTAAGAAACACTACTTAATGAGCATGATTCAGATTTTTGGTAGTGGCTCTCTTTAGCTTTCATTCATTTTTTTTCATTTCTTGAGAGAACCACCACCTCTACACATTTTTCAAACACACGCCCAACTTTTAAGCATTACCTCCAACCCTCACATTATATTTAGCAGAAATAGCAGAGAACATGCAAAAAATCACTCTGTGGAACCTTCTAAGAGATGCAAAAGGTTGATTTTCCATTATAAACCGAAAGAAAGAAAGTGACACGACTCAAAGGGGCTGACTAGGGGGTATGACACACCAGGACAGTCAATTTGGCCGTGGGCTATTCCTATGCCTCCAGCATCTTAGCTAATGACAACGTGAATGCTACACATCATGGAAGAGGGATCTATCACACAAGAAAGAAACCAGCATGCTCAAATCTCACATGGCTACCTATATGCTCTATCTCTCATCTGATTCCTGAACTGGATGCATAAACGACTGTCAAGAGCAAGTGATCAATCTAAGTCACAGTTGGTAAGTAAACAGTTGAAAAACGGATCCCCTACACAATCCTACTGCACGTCTCAGTCATCATCATAGGTTGTCCTAGTTACAATCAAGTTTTCATGCATTAATTCGAAAGCCATTCGATTCACCAATCAAATCCACAGTGCCAACATGATAATGCAAACCTCAGTACTTTGAGCCCTCAAATCTCGAGATTTGGACAGCGGACTAGGATCCAAGCACACATATATAGATTCCAACCAATACAAAGCACTCCCCCACACTTAAGTTCGACATTGCCCTCAATGGAGCAGAGGGAAAGATAAGGGGAACGATGTTACCGGAAGGAAAGACTGTCGGGGGAGTGGAAGTGGACTAGTCAGGTGGACTAGCATCAGCAAAACACACTGGGTGATAGAAACTATAGTTCAAAGTGGACAAACCGAAAATAAACGAAAGGAAAACAAACCTTGGTGGGGTTGCCTCCCCACAAGCACTTCTTTTACGTCTTTAGCTTGACGGTGGCTCCTAAGTTTCGGTCCACCCCAGAACCTCCTTAAAGTTGAGATTCTCGTCGATGATGTGGAGTCTCAAGTCACAAGCAGGTGATGTGATAGGCGATGAAGATGGATCGTGGCCTTGAGGAAGATGAAGTCTCCACTCTCGAGACCTCTCCTTCGCGTTTGCTCTTGTCTCATTTCCCCAAACCAGATAAGATATCATCGATTGACCACTATCGCATCCACCAAAAGGGATTAATGTTGATGTGGTCTTGCTCTGGAAAAGAGACATTGCAAATGGGTCCTTACAAAAAAAAAATGACAATGTATTATTAAGGCTACATTGTTTGGCGTTATCATAAGCCTAATAGAAAAAGGAAAAGAAATTGTAAGCCGAGTTGGGGAGATACACCCTCTTAGTGTGTTTCGTTTACATGGCCACTAAGAAATTAAATTCCTTATATGATTTGGAGACTAATTGGCTACATAAAGCCAATATCTGCATCAAGTGGTTGTGTGTCCAGTACAGTTGGTGTCAACAACTTAGTCTATAATTTATTATGAACTAAGTTGTGGGGGCATTTGTTTACACCAAAATAATTTTTCATTAATTATTACATGTACGAATAGCTTGGCCAATTTAAGTAGTTGGTCCGTGTGTACATAGATGGTCCAATTTATTCAAGTCTGACCGCAGGGTTCGTAGATGGTAGCTCGAGTATGGATACCATCCAAATTCCATAATGGATGGTAGTGTCCAACAACATGGATACCAACCAAATTCCATAATGGATGGTAGTGTCCAACATCATGGATATCATCCAAATTCCATAATGGATGGTAGTGTCCAACATCATGGATACCATCCAACCCCACAAGGATGATGTCATCCCGTATCATGGATGTTATCCAAACTATTAAGTGGATGGTGCCATCCATGGATTATTGTCTTAGTCAACATGGATGCCATCCAAGTTGTTTGATGTATGGTGACCATCCAATTGGTCATCCATGGTACGTAGGGTTGATTGTCCAGTGACATGATGATGTGTCGAAGGTGGTTACCAGAAGTAGCAACCGACTTGCAAGGACGCTTGGAGAGGAGTTACTGGATGCTAGTGGAGCTGATTTTCGAGAAGAGAGAGAGAGAGAGAGAGAGAGAGAGAGAGAGAGAGAAGGCAGTTAGAGGGTGAGGCACAACAAAACTCACAGCAAGACTCAAGAGGAGGGACAGACAAATCAAATCACAAACAGTCTCGTCAAAATTTATCCTTTTCTCTCTAGAACACTAACCGTAGAAGTAGCACCAGGGACCCTCCAACGAGGCTTCTCTGTTAGTTTTAGTAAGTAGTTGCGGAGCTCTCAAGGAATCTCCATAGGAGTAGAGGTAATAGTAACCAGATCATTTGATGTATGCATCGAACACCCTCGTTAGAAAACAAAGTCTGAATAGGTGTGAACCGAGTAACATAGTTTTCTGTTTTCTTGAAGTCATAGTGCATTGATCATGTGAAATTCCACCTAAAACAAAATCATACCAGGGTCCTGCCACTTCCAGTGCGCAAGTCCTGAACAGTTCCTCCAAGGTTAACATTGGTCTTCGAATTGCCCAACCTTTTATGGGTGATATGTAGTAGAGAATTCAAGTCTCGTTCCCATGGCTTCATGTCAACTTTTTTAAAAAATGTGAGATAAAACTTGAGACCCGATTTGACACAATGGAAATATGCATCTTGTCGTGTCGTACAATCTGAGCCATGTACAATTTAGCCATCTCCTTTGTATTTCACTTGAACCATATTGGTATAAAGTGTGTCATCTTAGTCATTATATCCACAATCACCCAAAATGCATGCTTTCCTTTCCCAATTGGAAGGAAATTCAATCACAACACCATGTTGATCTTCTAAAATTTCCATTATGGTGTCTATCAATCTCCCTTTTCAGCTGAGCGCAACTGCTTATCTGTCTTTTGTAGAGTGTTTCTGAGAAGCTTTTATCGTTTAATGATTTTTATATCTTTTTTTATAGAAGAGACTCTTTTATTAGTGATTGATTAATTATAGACTGCCACACATAATTACTTCATTTTTAATTTTATAAGCATAGTACTCTTGTATGACTCACTAAGAAAAAATCAAGTATTTAGCGGGAAATCGAAGCTCGCGGAAGCTCAGGCGATCTTGTGGGCTCTTTGATTGACTCGTACGCCTGTAAGGAAGTCGATTCCATCTATCCCTAATTAAAAATTTTGACAGGGCTGAAATTTGGGAGCTGAGTTCAGAAATGAGTGAGGTTCGCTGGAGGTTGGGGGGGGGGGGGGGGGGGGGGGGGGGGGGGAGCAGATCGGGTGAGTAACTAATGGGTGAGTAACCCATCAGTAACCCCTCTCTCCTCTCTTCACGTGTCAGTTACATTTTTATTTAAATTAAATGCTAAAGGGCAGTAAGGTAAAATGCACTTATCCCATATTTATTGCTGACGCGCTGACTTTTGACCGACCACATCAGGACCTCCTTCTCTCTCATCGAAAAACCTTTAATTTTCCTTCTCTTAATCTTTAACGGGCGATTTCTCACTCGTTTTAAGTCAAAATTTAATTTTTTTTGCACAGTTAGATCAGATTAATTATGCTCTTCAAAATGATATCCACTTTGATATTTTTTTGACACAAATTTTTTTTCCAGTTATTACCAGTCTATACCATATGGTATAATGTGGTAATATCAATATATATTTCGTTACCACCCAATACCATATGGTATAGTGTGGTAATATCAATATATATTTCGTTACCACACAATACCATATGGTACAGTATGGTAATATCACACAATATCATATGGTATAGAGTGGTAATATCAATATATATTTCGTTACCACGCAATACCATACATTACCATAGGGTATAGTGTGGTAATATCAATATATATTTCGTTACCACCCAATACCATATGGTATAGAGTCATAATATCAATATATATTATCTAAAAGGAAAAAAAAACAGAAGGAGGGAGAGAAAAAATGGTCTTCTGATGCCTCTCATTTCCTCTTCCTCAATCAAGAACACCAAAATGCCAAAAAAATGAGAAAGATCTGAATTGAGGTCAACGAGTTGATGAAGAGAAGAAATGCAAAGAAAGAGAGTGGCTACAATTTTTATTCGTCGATTGCTAGAGAAAACAATTGAAGAAGGAAGAGAGCAGATCTAAATTTGAAAAGGAGATTGTGAAAGAAAAAGTAATAGAGAAGGAATAGAGAAAGAGAAAGGATATGGAAAGAGATTGAAAGAAAAGAAGAGAGAAAGAAGAAAGTTGAGTTGAAGAGAAAATGCATTGTCTCTCTTTCATTGAAAAGTCAGCCATTGAAATGCGGAATGAATAATAAAAATTAAAAATACAAAAACGGACAAAAATGCCCCTCCCCACCCTACATCCAGCCCAGCCACACGATTGCTCCATTCCCAATCCTACGACTCCCGTGTGGTTACTGACCCTTTCTTGGACGGTTGTGGGGGAGATGAGGAAATTTGGCTGTCCATGAAATGGCCAGTATGCAGATGGGAAGAGACAAAAATGTGACTAAACTCTAGAGAGACCTCTCGTTTTCATCTTTCATGTTTGACGGAAGGACTGTGATGACAATTTGGCAATTTAAATAACGATTTCAGATTCAAATTTTTTTTTAACTTAAACCCAAAACTAGGGAAATTGAATAAATGATTAGCTAGGGAAAACAAAAGAAAAAAATAAACAGAACAAATTTACATGAATGGACAGTACTCTTAAATACCGCTGGGAAGAAGAATTAGATAAATGGGAAGGAACCAAAAAATTACACAATTGAAGCACAAAGAAAATGCAAGCCGTGGGACCAAGATTGAATAAGGGTGAAAAGAAAATTAAAATCAATCTCCTTCTCCAATCAAATGCTCAAATGGTCTTCTCTGGGCAAGCTCAGCACGGTGTCCGACCACCTCCCAGGGGAATGGTCACTGCTGTTATTGGACGACAACACCACCTGCGCCTCCGACGACCTCGCGTCCCTTATCATCTTCAAAACCTCCCTCATCGACGGCCGATCCTCCGGACGAATCGAGACGCACGCCATCGCCACGCCCACCAGCGCCTGCAGCTTCTCCTCGGCGCCACCTTCGTTGCCCGAAGAAGCCGGGTCGTCCCCTGAATCCGTCTCTTCGTCACGGACGGAGCGGACCCAGGTGGGAATGTCGGCGCCGTGCTGCATAACCAGGTCCTGGAAGGGTGTTTTCCCCGTCAGGAGCTCCAGCAGCAGCACGCCGAAGCTGTAGACGTCGGCCGATTGGGTGGTGGGGAGCTTGCGCGCGTCCCTTACCTCCGGCGCGCGGTAGAAGAGAGCTGCGGCGCTGGGCTCGTCGGGGGAGTTTGGGTCTTGGAAGGCGGCGAGGGAGTAGTCGGTGAGGCAGGATTCGAAGTCGGGGCCGAGGAGGACGTTGGAGGATTTGAGGTTGCCGTGGGTTAGTGAGTTGTGGTGGATGTAGAGGAGTCCTGTTGCTAGATCCTCTGCTATCTTCATGCATGATGTCCAGTGCAATGGCTTCCCTCCTCCTCCTGAGGCTCTTGGTCCTGACCAAAAAAAAAATGCAATGGTTATGTATGTGAGACAGCCTTGAGTGAGAGTGGGATGTCATTGGAGGAAAAGATGCAATCACAGAGAGAAGAGGGAAAACTAGTGTGCAGTACAAGAGAGTGAACATGGTACTTTTGTTAGGTGTGTTAGTCATTCATTCAGTATCAGAAGAAGCCAAAGTTTATAGCGACCAAATGAAGCAAGCAAGGTGCCAATTTCCATTTCGTTGTCAGTCTGGAAGCAAAAGTTAACACAATATTGCTCATCGGGTTGATTGACGATGGCTACTGCAGAGCTTTTCAAAACTCACACTCCATGGCTGTACTGCGGATTATAAATGCCTCTCTCTCTCTCTCTCTCTCTCTCCCTTACTGAATGAATTGAAAGGCCTGACCCAGTTGCAGTTTCAATTCCCTATGGAAGGGAAGATGCATGATGCAATAATGCAATGTTTCATATGATTGGTGGCCCACGCTGCCTGCCTTATCAGAAAAAAGCTATGATAAAAATGAGACAGGAAGATGAATTTGAATAATGGAAGGGGGTCAAACAAGGTTGGGTTGGTTGGCCCGTTTTGACCCTGATCCGTAGAGAAAAACAGGTCGCACACACCATCGGATCGACCTGTTGCAAGTTTACCAGGTAGGCGGTCACACAGTGTCTTTTTTTTTTTTTGTTGCGTAATGCACCTATTTTCGGTTTTCTAGTTCGCCTAGTCCTATTTTAGAAATTCAAAGTTGAACATTTGATTATTGATGTTATATAAGTGTGTGTCAATTTTCACCAAATATTAGATCCAAGTAAGACATGTTATTTTAGTGTAATTTTATATGTTATTATTCACATGTTAGAATAGATTAGATTTGATATAATTTATATATGTATGAACAATATAACATCTTTTTTCATATATTCAAACTAAAATGGACTAAACCGATCGGTTTATTAATCCTCAACCCACTTGCTCGACCAAACGAACGAGCTAAATAGGGATTAACAACCTGGGCCAAACGAACGAGCGACTAATGGCAAAAACGCAAGGCTGGGAGGATCGCTTAATTTCCTTTCCTTCCTCAATTTTGGTTGGTATAAATGTTGGTCTCTTTCACTAGGATCCACATTTCCATCCAACAACTCCCAACAAATATTGTCACTCTCTCTCACCTTTTGCAAATTAGGTTCACTCCTCACTTGTCCTCTCATTGGTCCCATTGGATTTTCAGATCAGATCCCCTCTCTCGCTCACGTTATTAAGCTTTAGTCTGGATCTTTCAGCCAAATCCCTCAAATTATGGCTTTCCCTTTCCCAGTTTGCAGTATCAAACAATTAAGAGTTTGTTTGAAAGTTGCGATTGTTAAATAGATGTATTGTTGAGAATGCATGTGTAATATTATACATGTATTATCGAATTTGATGCATTGTAGAATACAACGTTTGGTATGTGTGATTGTGTATGTCGCAGCTAAAAGCTGAGACAAAACAATCTCAACTCAATTATCTTAACAATCACAACTAAATGTTGAGATATAACAATCACTCAAAATGAGTGATAGTTTCTGTCACATCACAGAAACAATCCATATATTGTTTCTGCTAAAAAAATGATGTATTGTAAACAATACATGCATAATGACAATCTCAACAAAATTATCGCAACTTCCAAACGACCCTTAAATCATTTAAACTACGATTCAAAATAAAATATTTTGATTCTGATTTTTCTTTATGATACGATTTTACAATGCTTTCGGATAAAAAAAAAACCCTACCACGATCAAGAGAATTATTAAGCTCTCAAATAAGAAAGCTTTGGCAGTTCGTGAACCACAAAATTATTAGCACGTGAAAGTCTGTATTTTTTTTTCTTTTTATGGAAAATTATTTTTTCCCTTTTTCCCTTATAACAAAAGCAGAAAATAATCCTACCAAAAAAAAAAAAACAGAAAATAATGTAACAATAATCAAGGCGACACTGTCCCGTCCCATCGGTATATATATATATATGCTGTCCTCTCATCCTTCCGGACGGACGGTCTACCCTAAATCGTCTAACTATCCAACGGCCTATATTCATTCCCATGTAAATCAAAATAATTAATCAAAACAAATCGCCAATTAATTAACAGACTAATTAAAAAAAAGGCAAGGGAAAAATAAACGGAGAGGAGAAGTGATTGACCGACAGTTATGAATTAACGTACCGTGGAGGAGAGAGAAAAGGCTGCCGTTGGGGAAATAATCGTAGACGAGCAGTCTCTCTTCTTTAGCCTGGAAATAGGCTCTGAGTGGGACCAGATTAGGGTGCCTCAGCCGTCCGATCACCTCCATCTCCCTCCTGAACTCCTCCGCCGTCGGATACCTCGCATCCTTCAGCCTCTTCACGGTCACGATGAACCCGGATTCCATCACTGCTTTGTACGTGCTCCCCACGCTGCCCCTCCCCAGCGTCTCCGCCGACGCCTTGAGTAAATCCTCCAAACTGTAACTCATCACCTGATCCCCTGCGCCGAGGAACACCAGTGTTCCCATGCTCTCCCCTTTCTCCCACGAAAAACCCCCTTGTCTTCCACCACTGGGCCCCCCGCTCTCTCCGCCGCCTCCGCCGCCTCCTCCTTCCAAGCTTCCCCCGCCGCTCTCTCTGCCTTTCGCTTCCGCATTCTCTTTCGCCTTCCCATTCCGCCGAACCAGGCACAAAACAAGCACCGCCGCCACCAGGATCAAAACCACCAATCCGGCCGCGCTTGGAGCAATGATCCTGATCAGCTTGCTCCGCCGCCGCTTCGACGGCGATGATTTTGAACCAGCTGCGGAACCAGGGCTCGGGGAAGGACTCAATTCCGAGCAGCGCTTCCCGATCTGTTCGCCGCAGAGATCGGCATTGCCGGAGAACGACTTCTCATCGAACCGGACCAAAGCAGGCGTGACGGGAATCGGGCCGGAGAGTCGGTTGCGAGAGACATTGAAAAACCGGAGGCTGGTTTGATTGAGACGGGGGACCGAACCGGAGAAGTCATTGTCTTCCAGATAAAGTACGTACAGCCGATTGAGCTTCAAGAGCGAGTCGGGGATTGGTCCGGAGAGACGGTTTCTGGCCAGGACGACGACCTTGAGGCGGTGGAGATCGGTGAGCGATTCAGGGAACTCGCCGGTGAAGTTGTTCTGGTTGAGGAACAACGACTTGAGGTTGACTAGGCCGGAGAGGCTGGGGATCGGGCCTGAAATGGAGTTGGCCTTGAAGCTGAGAACCCGGAGCTGGTCCAATTGGTTCAAGATTTTGGCGTCGAGGACGCCGCTCAAGTTGCGGTACTCTACCACGAGCTTGGTGACCCTGCCATTGATGCATTCCTTGACCCCTTCCCAGCTGCAGAGATTGCGGCTTGCTGATGGCTGCCAGGGGAGGGAGTTGGAAGGATCGACGGCGGATTTCAGGGCTAATAGGGCTTCCGCGTCGCCTGATCTGACTGGGGAAATGACAATGGCGGAGAACAAGAGGGCGAAGAAGAAGAGTGGTGGGCGGGTCGAAACCAGGGGTTCCATTTTGGGTCTGGAGAAGAAGGGATGGGATGGGAAGGAAAGGGAATGAATCAAGGGGGAAAAAGAGGAGAGGAGAGAGAGTATCAATGGGATGGTTTTGGTAAAGAAAGACAGAGCCGTTTCCTTTTCCAGCAACAGTGAACCCAAATCTCCATTCTTGGTATGCTGTTTCCTTTTCCAAACCCCTGAAAATCAGAAACAAAGAGAGAGAGAGAGGGAGGGAGAGCCTGAAATCAAGACCGCAAGGGTTTGGATCTGATGGGAAGAATATCAACTCGAATCATGGCAGTGAATCTGGGTAGAATCCCGCCCATTGCAGCAGTCATTATCAAAAGACTGAAGGGTTTGACTGAATAATAATGATGATAAGACCGCTCCCAGAAAAGAAACAGAAAGCGCAAAATGAAGGAATGGTGGAGGATGAGAAATGGGAAATGGAAGGAAACAGGGGAAGGGAAGAGCTGAAATGAAAACCCCCCAGAGAGAACCAAAGCAGTGGAGGAGAAAGATTTATCAGCTGAAGGCTGTAGATGGAAAACAATAAGAGAGAGAGTTAGGGGCGTGGTTGCTTTGGTTTCTTCAAAAGCTCTAACACTCACGGGGATAGCTTCACGTGAGCTGGAGAAGAGCTCGCCATCTTAGTTTACACCTCAAGAACAAAGTAAGTACGCATAGTTATGCAGCCTGCAGCCATTATTAAATACAGTCAAACAAACAATTACCCGTCCTTTTGTTCTAGTTTTGACAAAAGAGATATGTAGATTATTAAACTAAGTCGCTTTGTTCTTGGGGGGGCTACAATACAGCATATAATTATGTGATTAGTTCTCGTTTGGATGGATTAGCCGTTGTGTGAGTGTGCATCTTCCTTTATTAAACTATTTTAGTGCTAATTACTCATCTTTTGCTCCAGTCATTAGGAAAAGAGGGGTTTCCTTCATTGTATTTGGCCCGGCGACTTGAAGCTATGACGGACGGCATAATAAAGAGCGGAGGTAAATTTGAGGGGATGAAATTGAAATGGATGGATCTAACAGTCAAGTAAGAAAGGGGGGCAGGAAAGGGAAAGGGGCAAATGAAATTAAGCATGCAAACTGCAAACCCAAGTTAAAGGTGAAAATGACAAGCACAAAAGAAAAAAAAAGAGTAGAGGTGTAGTAACTTTCCAAACACGGGAGATGGGTGAAATAATTGAAGGCAAAGAAATGAGGGATGATGGGGTTTCCGGGGTTCAGTGTGGGGAGTGGGGACACTATGGTTCTATGTAGTGTATAATGATACTATGATACTACTGTCACACTATAATCGATTAGTAACTCTATTATCATTATTAGGAAAAATACACTCGGATAATAATAAGTTTGTAATTTATCATAATAATAGTCCATTTTTGAAAAATACACTTATATAGTTATTTTGTCATTAACTTTAACGACATCGTCATAGATTTTGATTGAGCTACCGATTTGTTATGACGTGGCAACTTTTCATCAGAACCAATGTGAGGTTGAAAATAATTACTAATTACGTGGGAAAAAAGAGAAGAAAAAGGAAATTAAAAGTTATCGCATCTTCGTCTTCCTTTTATCTTCTTCTATTTACCATGTCGACCGCCACGATTTTCTCCTCCCCATCGTCTAGAGACGAGCATTCGGCCTCCAGACAATCACCCACTACCAACGACGTCGTCGAGTTTGAGTCGACGGACCCGATTTGTCGTAGCTCGGATCTTATGAGAGCTTCAGTTACTAACAAGATTGTCAAACCGATTTATACTGTTGTGCCGGTTTGGCAAGTGAAATGGTACAACCGATGGTATAACCAGCTTGTGTCGGTTCATGCCGGTTTACAAAATGTGAAAATGATTAATATCCAATGTATTTAATCATATATAAAACATATTTGTGGACAATTTACTTACAATCCAACAGATACCATAAGCTTTTAACTATTAAATGCATAAAATGAATAATAATTAACCTTTTTATAGATGAGATTCATTAAAATGATTTTATTTGCTTAGAATTCGTAAGTCAATCATACAGGTGGTGTCACGCCGGTTTCATGACCGGCACAGGTTGAACCAGGTTCAACCAACTGGCATGCCACCAGCATGACAACCATGGTTACTAATTACCTCGATATGGGCAATGACTAAGTATTAATTACCCGTCGTAGATGGTCTCCTAGCAGATGGGACATGACTACGGCTCCTGACATGGCATTTAATGTCCTGAAATCCACCTAACAAGGTATAAATACCCCCCCCCCCCCCCCACAAGCATTGATGGGAACACAACTACTTGCTCACTCACTATACGTACCATCATTTCTATTTCCTCTGTCTAACTTAATTACCAGAGAGTGTCCTGGGCAACCGCCCAACGGACCTTTGTTGTAGGGTCAAGGAGTGTGCTTCCCGTCCTCAAGAACAGAAGCTTTACTTGTGCCTCGACAACCGCCTAGAACATTCTGGGCTCAAACAATTTGGACAATGATTTCTAAGACAAGACTCACACATCTTCCAACAAAGTTTGAACGAGGGTGTTTGAAATGAATTGTAGTCTTCTTCATGGAAAACCTGCAGCTTTATTTAGATCGGGAAAAGCATACGCTTTTATGAAACCATGTGCTATTACTCGAGTCTATAGTCAATCCTATTTTCGATGGGAGTAGTTGACAATTGAATCAGCAAGAGCTCCAAACTAAGGCTAATCCTACATTTGCAAATAAAAAATAAAAACCTAACATATGCGTCAATTGTATGGTTTTGGTAACTGTTGGGCTATGTGTTGAGCAATACTAGGCTTTAAGGGCCAAGAAGAAAACCAACTGGGTCGGCCCAGTGATGAGTAGCTAAGAACGCCTTGGCTAGAATCGCCTCCTCTTTTTGACAACAACATTAATTAGACTGTTAGGAAGCTAAACCTCGGATGGAACATGAGTTAGACCGCTTGACATAAGGCACTGATGGGTGATAAGAGGTAGAGATCCGACGATATATTTACCTCGATATGGGCACATGAATGAGTATTAATTTCCCGTCGTAGGCGTCTTCTAGCAGATGGGACATGATTAGTGCGCCTGACATGGCATTTAATGTCCTAAAATCCACCTAACTTGGTATAAATACCCCCAATCGAGCATTGATGGTAACTCAACTAATCCCTCTCTCACTATATCATCATTTCTATTTTCTCTCTCTCTCACTTAATCATTAGAGAGTAACCTAGGCAAACGCCCCACAAACCTTTATTGTAGGGTTAAGGAGTGTGCTTCTGTCCTCAGAAACAAAAGCCTTGCTCGGGCTGTGTGGGGAAGTTACGATCCAGACCGTAACTTTCGAGGTCTAGCCATAACCTTTCCTTGCTCTCTACTTGATCGGTCCAAAACGTCCCAAACTTGCTCCTTTGCACCCATTCACGTACTAGGAGCTGAAATATCATAAACCAACACAATGACTCGCACAAAACTACACCACAATTAAACCCCAATTAGAGCCCAAGTTTTTAAACTTTAATCGGGTGCAGTATAGGCCAAGTATTTATATATCGACCCAGGCCGGTCCGTCTACCCCTACTTCGATTGTTGAAATCATTATCTAGCAATAAAACTTTGGTTTAAAGGTTTGCCAATTGAAATGAAAGAAAGTGACAAGCTAAAACACAACACCAAACTCCGACCAAGTGTAATCGCAGTCCGAAAATCCAGACTACTGGCAAGTTCTATTTGTCAACCCGGGGTCTAGATCTACTGCCTACTTCGTGATTATCTATTATCTAGCAAACTAAGTCGAGTGATTGTGTTTTTAAGTAAAAGCCGTAAGAAAGCAGAAAATCGTTCAAAGTTCTTTAGCAAGGGAAGAGTCACTCGGGAATGAGTCCCCCTAGCTCCTTAGTTAGGTCAAGGTTGTAATTACCCTAGGTTGATTAACTGTTGATTAAACTGCGGAAGATCCGACAGTAGCTTGAAATCTCTTAAGCTGACCAAGCCCTCTCAGGCAGGCTAACCGGCAGGCGACTAACCTTCACCGGGATAGACTGCTGAGGCAAAAAGCACAGAACTCCACTACTGGAACTGCGTTCCAGTACAAACCAGTAAATCGATTAACTCTCGTGTAACCAATCTACCACTAGTGATTGATGAAGCTCTAACAACCTAATCAGATTCTATCTATCTCAGGTTGCAGCAGAAATCAAGAAAAGATGATCAGACTTCAATTGACTCAATAAATCATGCATCAATCAATTATAATCAATCAGTATATCAATAAGATTCCTAACACATGGAACTAGGCTTCTTCATACCCAAGTGAGAGAAGGTTCTACTCCATAGAGAGAGAGAAAGAGAGAGAGAGGAAAACAGAAATCAGAGTAGTCATACTCATAAAGATGGGGATAATTTGCTCTGGGATGTCGATCTTCACTCCTGGGGATGCAATCTGGGTTTCAATGGTGAGAAATCCACTCCAAATAGCTCATAGGGTTTGTTCTTCGCACTTTCTCTCTCTAAAGCTCTGTTTTTTGCTCAAAAACTAGATTCCCTCTCATTAGGCTCGAAATTGGGTTAAGACCCAGAATTTTCCGACCACACGGCAGTGTGGATTCCCAGTCTGCCCTTGTGAGCGCCAAAACGCAACGTTTCAATTAAGTGCTTCCACGAATGCCACACGGCCAGAGCTGCACGACAGTGTAGAAAACTAGCTTGCCCGTGTGACTTCCCTGGAATTTCCACACGACCTCAAGGGACCCAGTACACGGCCAGTGTGGTCTTGCCCGCGTAATGGGATTACACACGGCTACGCCACACGGTCGTGTGGCTACTAGGTCTGGCCGTGTGGTTTCCTCAGCTTCTCGCCAAACGTCCAACTTTCATCCAATCGACCCCGAACTCGTTCCCAAACCTCCAATCACGTACTAGGACCTGAAATAACACAAACGAGAACAACCTAGCGTGAAATCGGCCTAAGATACGAGAAATGAGGCTCAAACGACACAAGAATG